TATTCTTGGTGACCCGCCAAGTTTCTGATCCGTATAGCAAAACTGACATGACGTTTGTATTGAAAATCCGAATTTTGTTTTTGATGGTGAGTTGAGTGACGAAGATTTCCAGATTGGTTTCAGGTTGATGATTCTCGATTTGACATCCTCGTCCGTTCCTCCTGTGGTTGAGACAATGCTCCCAAGATAAGTGAATGAAGTAACCTCTTTCAAATCCTTCCCGTTGATGGTGATTGGCGCTGGATGTTGCTGTTGTTGTTGTCGGTTATTTTCGTAACCTCCGTGTTGTCTATGTTCACCTGGAGTCCTGTCTTTGCTGCCTCTTCTACCAGTTTGTCGGTTTTCGCTTGTGAGTCTTCGATATTGTGTGACATCAAACATAAATCATCCACGCGCGAAATCCAGGTCTTCTAGGTTCTTCACGTCGGTCCAGGATATCCCTGTCTTCTCGTTTCCCACTGTCTGACGCATAATCCAGTAAAGTTCACCACAATTAGGAATATCATTGGTGATAATAAGCAGTCTTGTCTGACTCCTGTGTTTACTCCAAACGCCTGGCTGAGTTTTCCGTTGTGGATCACTTGACATGTGCCGTTGTCGTACAGCTGTTGAATAAGGTTGATGAATATTTGGGGTACGCCGTAGTACTTGAGTAGTTTCCAAATTACTTCGCGGTCAACGCTGTCGAAGGCCTTCTCAAAGTCTATGAAGTTGAGGTAGAGGTTTGATTGCCATTCCATGCTTTGTTCGATGATAATGCGTAGAGTTGCAATTTGGTCAGAACATGATTTGCCTTTCCTGAATCCAGCTTGTTCTGGTCGGAGTTCTGTATCCAGTGCGTCAGTAGACGTGATGCCTGCCAATCGGCCAAAGGACGTGTGTACTACTCGGTAGCAGTTCGCTTCATCCTCATTTATGGCTATTGATGAGACATGGCCATTGAAAGTGGAAGACGTGAAAAGGCTGGCTGTCTATCTTTGATCATAGGTTTCTGCGTTCCATCTCCCACGTTAGGTGGTAGAATAGGGTGAGTAACATTGAGGTCAGGCGTGGGATGTTAGGTAAAGAGGATGATGTTGTGAAGGTACATAGATTGAGATGGTTAGGACATGTGTTACTCATGACTAGCCATCGCCTTCCTGTTTTAACTGAACTAAACTGAACAGATCCGTTGCTACTTTGTTATGTCTGCGCATGTTAATTACTATGACGGTAATGAAAATCGACTGGTACGCTAATACGTTTATTTTTCGGTTGTACCTTCCGATTCACTGAGCCACGCAAATATCAAGAGACAAAGAGTGGTCTGTGACTGTAAGATATTTTATAATACATCTATTAGGAAACAAAAAATCATATTTATATATTTAATTTATCACAATAAAGTTGTCTCACAAGCGTGAGAATGGACTGTTCCTATTGGGTGGAAATGTCTATTCTGATTGGTTGGTGATCTGACAAAGACCAAGATGAAACAACAATTATGAATAAAGTTAAGAAATCCACAGTGGACCTTATACGCCGAATGAAGCCGTTTCTAGGTGAGTCTAAGTGGTTTAATTTAATGCCCAAAACTAATAACCCCAGTAGGATGTATGGTGTTGTTAAAGTTCATAAGTCAGGATACCCTATTAGGCCTATGGTTGACTTTAGAAATTCACCTACTTATGAATTATCTAAATATTTAGCCATGGTATTAAATCCCTTAAAAATCCACTCGAAATCTAGACTAACTAATTCTTATGAACTCAAACACAGATTAGATAATTTAAAATTAGATAATGAAGAAAAAACGGTTAGTTTTGACATTGTCAGTTTATACACACGTATACCAATAAATATGGCTATGGAGGCAGTCAGAAACGAACTCATTTCTGACCAAAAACTCGAACTTAGGACAAAAGTGCCACTTGAGGACATAATGCTGGGAGTACAGCTATGCCTGACTTCCACAGTATTTAAATTCCAAGGGAAAATATACAAACAAACTGAGGGAGTTGCCATGGGATCACCAATATCCCCAGTGGTAGCAGATATATTCAAGGATAAATGGGAAAGCATTGCGATTAAAACGTTCACCCCCACCCCAAAAGTATAGTGGAGGTACGTAGATGACACATTCACTGTACTTAGAACACAAAATATGGATAGGTTTTTCGAACACATCAACTCGAAGGTTGAAGCAATTCAATTCACTTATGAATTGGAAAATCAGGAAGGGGAGCTCCCAATGTTAGATTGTAACGTAAAGAGGAAAGAAGATGGGAAGTTAAACACTAGTGTGTGTTTACAGGAAACCCACACATTCAAACAAACATTTTGACTTCCGATCATCCCATCCTATGTCAGTGAAAATAGGATTGGTGAAATATTTAAGTGAGAGAGCACAAAAACTAAGTAGTACCAAAGAAAATCTAAAACAGGAATTGATACATATAAAAGAAGCCTTGAAACTTAATAATTACCCGGATAAATTAGTCAGGAAATATGTAAGGAAATGTAAAAATAAAATAAATAATGATAGTAGCGATAGTGATAACAACAATAATAATGATAATAATAATAATATTAAGGACAACACCAACAATAAAGAATCTAAATCATCAGTAGGAATTCCATACAAAGAAGGAACCTCGGAAGCCTTACACAGAATTCTTAACAAGGCAGGAATAAAAATGGCATTCAAACCCACAAACTCAATTAGAAACAAGCTTTGTCGGTTAAAGGATCCTGTAGAGCCTTTAAAACAAAACAATTTAGTTTATATAATACCCTGCAATGATTGTCAGGTCAAATACATAGGTCAAACTAGTAGAACAGGGGCAGTCAAACTAGCTGAACATAAAAACTTAGCAAAATCTAGATTGGTTGACCCTAGTAAGATAAGAAATATGGAGGGTATTTCAGCTATAGCACTACATGCAGTCACACACAACCATACAATAGAATGAGATAGGATGACAGTTTTAAAATCTAACGTAACAGCTGGGTGGAGGGAGAGATTGATAACTGACTGAGGTTCTATTTTTCGAGTCAGCTGCAAATACATGTAATAGGAATGATTCATCACCTGTCCCCGATATCTGGAAAATTCTTCTACCCCTACGACAAATAGGAGAGAACAAAGAAAACTATAAAACTCAAGTTTCGAAGTCGTGTGATTATAATTGACGATATGATTTTGAACGATAAATTTTGTTCGAAACTTTGTCATCCAGTAAATAATATTGTTTCACTGATTGTGTGATACATCTAATAAACAAACTAATATGGAATTACTAACTATCACAGTGCCGAAGTTTTACACATATATTAATACGCTACGGAAGACTTTTATTAGCAGTAGGCTTCATAGTCAAGATTAGGCGGCGATAAGAAACTCTGGGAACGAACCAACGAGGGATCTATTACTCGACAAAATTAGAGATGGATCGAAAATACGCCGAGGAGACCGTTGGGTGACATCGCATGCCAGGGAACCCCTTGAATAAAGCCCGGTTGCGAAACGACAAATCGGGCGTGAATCCGAGGGTGACTTGGAGGAGGTGAGTGCCTATGATCAATGGTGGGGCCAGCTAAAGAGGATTGTAGAGAACAGGGAGAAAAATGGAGATGTGCTGTTGCAGCCCAATGTTCCACTCGGAACTCAAGGGAATAATATGTATATATGTGTGTATTCTATGCCCTGTCCATTGGTCGTTTACATGTTTCAGTAGACCTATTCAGCAAGCACCGCAATTGTCTAATCTGGATCATCCCTGCATCGTAGTCCTCAAGAGTTTAAGCTTTGTGTGAATCGCATAGACTAGGAATCAGAACGTCTGCTAAGATAGCTCTTCAAATCCCATATATTAACTGAAGTATTAACAAATAATAAATATAGATTACTCGGCAACGTCTATGGCAAAGCGGTGCAATGCTCGCCAACTCCGCAGGTAATTCGGCGTTCTATCCCCGGCCACCGATGCACTCCTTTACCTTGCTAAGCCGGTAATAAGACTATTAAAGAGGGAAGGTTGGATTTGAGGCTAGCAATCCCATCCCGTATAAGTAAACACTACTGCTACCGAATCTTAAAAACTCTAGCTTGAAGCCCTGTGCTCCGCTGGGAACGTAAAGGAATAAAAACACGTCAATGGCATGTCAACTCAGGCGACCTGGGCTACTAAAACACCTCCATCATCATATTTCTCGTGTTCACACTGTTTTAATCTATAAAAATATGAGCTCTAATGGTATTGTTTACTTTCGCGAGTATTTAAAATATTTACAACCTGCTGATTCGCAATTTTTTTATACTAAAATTGAGTTAACTCATAAATCATGGATGGCAATGTATCCGAATACATGAGGTCACTGTTCCTGAGATTTTTTCAGCACAAACTGCCACTACCTGCAGGCGGTTAATCTTTCGGCTATGTCTTCGAGTCGCAAGATAATATATACTCGTTCACTTCCCTGTTAACTGGCTTTCAACAAAATGTCGCGCATATCTCGAAGAAGACAGAGGAGAAATATCATCATATGGGATTGGTTTGCGCTTCAGATCAGGCATTACCGAGTAAAGAGACCTGTGGTGAGAGCTGTCTGCTAGTCAAAATTGGTAGACAGCAATTTACGTCCCAAATCTTGGTCATGAGAAAAAAACAAGAACAAAGACTAACTCAACAACCAATCACAGCAGACTTTACGTGGGCGGATACGATTGGCAGATATATTAACGGCGAGAGATTACAGAATAACCTTCAGCAGGAAAACAACCAATCAGAAGACACTGTTTCTCTGCTAACAATAACATATGTGATAATGTACATAAAAATCCCTTGATTTTCTCAATAAACGATCTGTTGCCTGGCCCTTGTCTTCTGTCGTTACAGACCTACTACCAATTTCTATTTCACTTAAACATGCCGGAAGGAGAGGAAATATTACGCAATTAATTTCTTCTGAGAATTCTCCACATTTTTTAAAAACTGTCCAGAATAAAGCTATTCTTCTTCTTATAATTATTAAAGAAGCTCAAAGAAGTTGTAAACTGTGAAAATATTTATTTACAAACTTTGAAAAGTGAAAACTTTTATTCTTCAGCAATTTTCATCTTTTTATTACCAACATTTTCATCGACTGGTTTTGGTTTTCGTTTGCCAACGCGAATTTTATTGGTGCTTTTCGGTGTAGGTATCGTTTTCATACCATCACCACTAGTACTATTATGTTTAGGCTTATTCATTTTTTTCTTTTGTTTTTGCGGTTTAACTGTTTTATTCTGCGTGCCTTCTGCTTTGGCAGCTTTTAGCTTTTCTTTCATCAATGCCCTTTCTTTACGCTTCTGTTGACGCTGTTTCTTCAGTTCCCTTTTGAGTCGAAGCTTCTCCTCACGATTTTCAGTAAAGGCCAGAAGACTATAATTAATAAATAGGGATAGAATACAGTAATAATATGGAACTTCCATGAAGTATATAAAATAACTCATAAAAGCGAAGATATTGTTGAGTCAATATTGTGACAGCATAATCCTGACTAAGATACCGTACACTTTGATGCTCCACAGGAGCAGTTAAATTGGTAGATACACATGGAAGAGGCGAAATTAAGCAGTTTATATTTTACTTCCTAAAGCAAAATAGAGGTGGTTTTGAAGACACAGCGTAATTCACCAGCAGAGAATGCTGTTTTTACCGCATTTCTAAGGTGTTGTGTATCTACCAATTTAACTGCTCCTGTGGAGCCAGTTAGTTGCATAGGCCATACAATTAGGCGTGTTTCTCGTCGGATTTCCAAACATCACCCTGCATAGTGGTTAAGTAAAGGACAAACAAAATCTATTCGTAGCGCTATTCTATCTCATCTTATGGATGCAACAGAACACAAGATTGATGTCAACCAGGCAGCTTTCAAAGTCATTAACCGCATACCAACCAACAAATCTTAAATTCGCCTTAAGAGTTCGACTACTAAATATTGCTGAGGCTGGCTGTTGGGATCCATATTAACAAGCCTAATTTGTGCATCCAAAAGAAGTTAGTTCAGACATTATCCTTGCTTACCTTGGCCATCTACGTTTGAATGATCCTCAATTTTTGTGGAATTTTCCTAATTTTAGTTGATATTCTATTTGCTATTATATTTTTGTTATAATTATAATTTGTACATCTTTAATGAACTGTAATTCCATTGATATTACTTTACAAATCGATATTATTATTTTTTTCCTTCACATTCCCAGTGGAACATAGGGCTCCAAGCTAGAGGCTTGATGTTTCTGTAGCAGTGTTAATTTTTACAGGATGGGGTTGCTAGCCTCATACCTAACCTTTCCCCTTTGCCGACTTTTTTCATTACTGGTTTATTGAGGTAAAGGAGTGAGTTATTTAAAAAACACTAATATTGTTATTGACTACTAATCTAGAATATTCTATGTAAATAAACATGCGTATATAATTGTAGAGCCAGAACAGGAGGAATTTATCGAGAAGGATATTTTTTGCTCAATTACTTTGTTTTTTAAAGAATGAGAGTAAACAATAGAGAAAAAAAACACTTTATGTTGGCATTCAATTAAAGAAGATAGTTACGCATGAAACTCACCCATGCTTGCGAGCATCTTCACGTAACAGATTTAAAAATCGACGAGCTGCAGATCTGACAGCTTTGTGTTTCGATGGAAATTTCTCAAGAAGTTTGACAATATTCTCATTAAGAAACTAAACACAAAAGGCACAAAAACACATTAAGAAATCTTTGTAAGTTACTCATAATTATAGCTGTTTATTCATCTTAGTAAATAAATCAAGCAATAGGATTGATCGACTGACTAACTGACTTCACAGCATAGAACTCTTCACAGAAGAACAGCTGTTCCAGTTGCCACACTTGAAGCGGTAAACCAGGCAAGAGAAGAGAGATGATAAACAGAAGTGTGAATGAAGCAAAAAAGAATAGTAATATGGAAAAACAACAGGGTTTTATTGGATATTATTAATCACAAACAGTGAATGCATCTGCGCCATTCATCACAAGGATGTCGAGCCAAATCACCAATTTTATCCAGGAATTGGTTCTTACCATTCCGAGGACCCCAACTACACAGACTACACCTACCTATGTGGCTGGCTTAAACCAACTTTTAGATATTTCATGGGATTTTTCCCATGATTTGATTTGACCACCATTAGCTCTTTTCCAACCTGATCGATCCTATGTCAGCTAATATTGACCGTCAATGAAGGCGATGACTCGATGTATGCATAAAATATGTCCTAATCATTTCAACCAATTCACCTTCACAAACTCATTGATTAAGCTATCCTCCTGACCTAGCATTCGACCGACGCCTGACCTCAATATTACTCATCCTATTACACCACCTAACACGGGAGATGAAAAGCAGACACTTCCATATTAGTTTGTTTATTAGGTATATCACACAGTGAAACAGTATCATTTACTGGATGACGTTTCGAACAAAATTTATTGTTCATAATCATATCAATTGTGATCACACGACTTTGACACTTGAGTTTTATAGCTTCCTTTGTTTTCTCCTACTTGTCGTAGGGGGAGTAGAATTTTCCAGATATCGGGGACAAGTGATGAATCATTCCTATTACATGCATTTGCAGTTGATTCGATAAACAAGCTTCTGTTATCAATCTCTCCCTCCACCCTGCTGTTATATTAGATTTTAAAACTGTCATCCTATCCCATCCTAATGTATGGTTGTGTGTGACTGCATGTAGGGCTATAGCTGAACTATTCTCTAGATTTCTTATTTTATTCGGGTCAACCAATCTAGATTTTGCTAAGTAAATAAGTAAGTAAGTAAAATCTAGATTGGTTGACCCGAATAAAATAAGAAATCTAGAGAATAGTTCAGCTATAGCCCTACATGCAGTCACACACAACCATACATTAGGATGGGATAGGATGACAGTTTTAAAATCTAATGTCACAGGGTATAGGGAGAGATTGATAACAGAAGTTTTGTTTATCGAATCAACTGCAAATACATGTAATAGGAATGATTCATCACTTGTCCCCGATATCTGGAAAATTCTACTCCCCCTACGACAAATAGGAGAAAACAAAGGAAGCTATAAAACTCAAGTGTCAAAGTCGTGTGATCACAATTGATATGATTATGAACAATAAATTTTGTTCGAAACGTCATCCAGTAAATGATACTGTTTCACTGTGTGATATACCTAATAAACAAACTAATATGGAATTACTTACTACCACAGTGCCCAAGTCTTACACATATATTAATAGAAAAGCAGACACCTATGATCAAAGACAGCTAACCAGCCTTTTCATGTCTTCCACTTTCAATGTCTCACTCACAGTCGTAAAGAAGGACAGGGCGAACTGCTGTCGAGTAGTATACACTTCCTGTAATCGTTAGCTAGCCAACACGTTTACGCCAAAATGATGTGGTGACGTGCGCTATATACGTAGGTGCAGATTGATAGGAAGCAACCAGAAAGTGTAATCAACGTTTTAAGTTGATGGTGGCTGGCAGTGTTTATCCCTCAAATCTGAATTTAGTCGACGTGGTGGTCTGAAAATAATCTCACTGGACAACTTTTCGTCCGTTTGTTTAGCCTTTGGGTCAATCGCTTTTGTAACGAAAAAAGATAAGGGCCAGGCAACAGATCCTCTATTGAGAAAATCAAGAGGTATTTATAGATTTTTATATACATTATTATTACCGTTATTGTTAGCAGAGAAGCGACGTCTTCTGATTCGTTGTTTTCTTGCTGAAGGTTATTCTGTACTGCTTGTTATCGTCTCTCAGAAATTTAACCCATGTATCTGCGAATCGTATTTGCACACCTTAAGTCTGGTGTGATTGGTTGTTGAGTTCCTCAAGGTTAGGCTTTGTTCTTATTTTTTCTCATGACCCCGATTCGGGACGTAAACATTGAAGTAAATTGTTGTCTGCAATTTTGGCTAGCAGACAGCTCTCACCACAATATGACTTAAAATCCTTCACAATGGCTGGCGTAGACGCATTCACTCTTTGTGTTCTGACATATGCATGAAACCCAACTGGTTTTCCATGTTACTATTATGTCTCTCTCAAATTTTTGCACTTTATCATTCTTCCAAACCTCTTTTTTCTTCTTTTGTGTGCTAACGTAGAGTGTGACAACTGAAACTGCTGCATATCTGTGCAGAGTTCTATGTTGAAACCAGTCAGGTGGTCCGATTTTAATTCCCAGTTGATGCAGTTATATACGTCACGTAATTTCATGGCAGATAGTGAACATAAGAAGGAGGGGAAGTTGGGCATGGGACTGACAACCTTACTGCTACTGAAACTTCAAAAAGAGCTCCAAAAACATTTGGAAGGCAAAGAATAAAAAAGAATTGTTGGTATTAGATGGTTGAAGGCAATCGGGACATGAGTTCCTACGCCTTGCTGGCTGGTGAGTGGCAACTAGCACGAAGCCTAGGTCCAAGGTTTCCTGCCGATTGCCTCCAACCATCTATTACCAATAATTCATAGTGCACCGTGATGGCGAACCACCGAGTATGGTGGTCACACTGCAAACTTGACTGATAGAATTCAGTCTGCATCAAAGATTTGACTAGACACACACATTACACTAGTTAGAGACTAATATCCAATCAAAAATATGAAAAAGAATAAATATAATACTGAATATATAGTTTTACAAATAACAAATTAAATGTAGCATATATATATTTGACCTACTATTGGTAGAACATCCTTATCAGCCTTCGCAATGCACATCAGCAGTTCGAACAAGGTTAACGCTATATTGACACGATTGAACCACAAATTGTTATCAATTGAATCTTCACTCGTCTTCTTCACTGATTCTTCAAGTAGTTCAGCTAACTTGACGCCTAGATCACTGGGCATACTTGCAGTCTCTGATGAGCCGCCGCCGCCACCGCCACCCACCTTTGATTTAACCATATGAGTAACTATTTTGAACAAATTTAAGAGATCACATTGTTCAAAATCGCCAATTTTAACTTTTCTGAAATCTTCCACACCGTTGACAAGTTTTTTGCACGCTTTTTTAACTGTTTTCACAAGTAGCTTTGCAGCCATCGCTGTGAACGTCTTGATAAGAAAGAAAAAATGCAACGAAATATTCTCGGTGAATAATATTCAGTAGAAAACGAAAGATAGGATAAGTGAAAATCAATATTTACAATACAGCTTATTAGTGAGGTTAGATAGATTAAAATATAGAAAATCAATACAAGTGATTTAGCGAAGCGGCTCTTTTCAACGAATTTATTATCAAGCTATACAATCGCATATATATATATATATATATACCTAGGAGCAGATATCCTTTGAAGGCGAATCTTCAATTCCCTAGAGAAGACTTTTCTTGCAGCAACTCTAAGAGTGATATTCTCTAGCCCCGCACCACTTCGGAGCAACGTGAAGGACAGACTTCCGCATATGACCACTTCAGTGTGCATATATCAGTTCACCTGCTTGTGCGGATCTAGGTACATAGGTCGTTTTATGCGAGTCTTATCAATACGTATCAGAGAACATCGTACAGCATGGCTGCAAAGAGGAGGCACTGGTTCAATCAGAAGCGCCATAACTGAACACCTCGTCAATGCCTGTCACAGAATCTCAAGTGACTCATCCATCATTCAGAGTCATTTACAAAGTAAACAAAAATCTACCAAAGGCAGTGTAATTCCGAATTCCCTGTACTGCAGAAGTCCTCATCATATGCATCAAAAAGCTGGAGCTGTGTGTTCAAAAGGAACTAGTCGAGCATCCACAACTACCATGGACCTAGTTCGGTATGTTCCCTTATCCTTCAGTTTTTTTTGTTTTGTTCTCCCTGTGTGTGTAATTTTCTCTCTTCAATATTGTTTCCTTTGGGTCAAAGTTCAAGTCAAGGAAACAATCAGTTCCAATACAAGTAGCCTAGAGGGTGTGGAAACACAAAAAAAAACAACCAATCACGCTCATTCATCAGGAGCGATGACTAATAAACTCGTGGAGAAATCTAAAAGCTCACTTCAATTCAAATTGAAGTATGTGCTGAAGATGTTGCCTAGTGTTGGGGGGATGAAAGCTTCGCAAATTAACTGTTCAGCTCAGAGAACACACACACATCAAAATCATCCATCTGAGCTACAAATCTTCTCCATCATGTCTAAGTTGGATCTAATACTAACAACCCACAGGAGGCATTCACACACAAATACTGGCTTAACGCTTCATAAACAATTAACTCTTTCACAATGACTTATTTTTGTGCAGTGTAACAAAAACCTAATTTCTCCTGTAAATTAACTCATGCTAACTAGTTGGGTTGTCAATCAATATCGTAGTGTTATCGCGAAAGTTTAGTATGACAGATACGTTAGTAGAAATCAAAGGTCGGAGATCAAAAATTGTAAAGATGTAGTTTGACAATTCCTCATTACCAACTTCTTTGTATTCTTTTCTAAAAGTTTATATAATTTGGTTTTTTTTTTGAAACTGATATGATGTCCTATTATCGTCATGAACGATCAATCAACGCTTTCTTTTTCAGCATATTACTGATTACAAAATCAGAGGTGGCCTAATTAAAAATTCTGGGCTACTTCATATAATTTGCAATTAATAGTGTTCTCTGAGCTGGTTGGTTTAGTTGCGGAGCTTTCGTCGTCCCCCTGCTGGACAACATCTTCAGCGCAATATTTAGCATAAAGTGAAATGATTTAAATTTCTTCATGAGTGATAAAATTGCGTCTCCTGGTAACTATCTTGAGTACCAGGCTTCTAGGAAGCCTGGTACTCAAACGAAAACGCAATTAACAAACACGTTAATATAGATGATATATACCAACTAATAAAAAGTAAATCAGGTGAGCAGAAAGTTTAAAAATCCAAGTCAATATGAAATGACCAATACATGTGTAAAGATGGTTACCAGGAGACACAATTATATCACTCATGAAGAAATTTAAATCATTTCACTTTGTGGTAAATATGGCGCCGAAGACGTTGTCCGGAAGGACGACGAAAGCTTCGCAACTAAACCAACCAGCTCAGAGAACACTATTAATTGCAAATCATCCACCTGAGCTACGAATGTTTTCTATTATTACTTCATATAATTTCTGTTGATCACTTTATTTTATTCTACTAAAATATGATCTCTAACAGTGTTTTGGGTAACAACACTAAACTATAGCGACCCAAAAGGAAGCTACCTTACAAACGGTCGTAATGACCTCGATCAACCGGCCAGATGAGTTTGTAGTAACCAATGCGGGAATATCCATGCAGTAGTACACGAATTACGTCACAAACTCCATCAAAAGGTAGTGTGTTAAGTACTGTCGGGATGATAAGCTTATAGGAAGCTTGTAGATATTGGAGGAGTAATGTCTCTACAAAGGTATGCAGCCACTGTTGATGGATACGTGTACACATATGATTGCTGTACAGTAAGTGAATAGGTTGCGAAGCAGCATGGTATATCGTTATAGGGAAGAATTTATGTGTACGGAAGAAATAGATTTGAATTATCTCTAAGGACTGTAATGAAGAATTAGGAGTTCTTCTTCAGATACACACACACACACACATAAAAGTTACCCCGTACAACTGTTTTTTATTCATTTACTTTGATGTCTATAAAAGAGGTTTTTAAAACTTCACACGTTTACTACGAGCTAATCTGAATAGTTAATCAAGGCCATTACGCCTGTTTATCAGGCTGTTTCGTTTTTAGACGCTATTATTATTATTTTTTATCATTGTTTCCTTTAATTCCTACAGAAATAATCGGCTTCAGCCAAACGCCTCCATTGCGTTAGATTCTCCGCCAACGTTTTCACCTGACTCCACGTCTGTCCACATGCTTTCATCTCCTCTTCTCATGACCTCCACCATATCACTATGGATAAGATTTTATTTTGATAAATCACATAGTGTTACACAGTAATATTAACTGATGACGTTTCGAGCACAAATTATTGCTCATAATCATATCAAGACACCACTCACACTAGCGTTTATAAAAAACCAACGCATTCTAATATATGTTTAAACTTTAATTCATCTCATCCGTTAACTGTTAAGGCAGGCTTAGTTAAGTGTTTAACAAACCGAGCAATAGTACTAAGTAGCACAAAAAAGACCTAAATGATGAAATGAAACAGATAGAAGAGGCGTTGGTGTTAAATAACTATCCCATAAAATTCATTAGGAAGATCGAAAAAAGCCAAAAGCCAAATAAAAATAATTGTGAAACTAGTAATGATAACACAAATAAGAGAGAATATAAGTCATCTACTGTTATACCACATAAAAAGGGGACATCTGAGACCCTGCGTAGGATTCTAAATAAAGCAGGAATTAGGGTGGCATGTAAACCTTCAAACTCACTCAGGGACAAGCTCTGTAGATTAAAGGACCCAGTGGACCCAATTAGAAAAAATAATATAATTTACAAAATACCTTGTAATGACTGTGAGGTCAACTATATAGGTCAAACTAGTATATCGGGGTAATCAGATTGTCGAAACATAAGAATTTAGCTAAGGTAAGAATGGTTGACCCCGAGAAGATAAGTAATTTAGAAAAAAGCTCGGCAACTGAACTTCACGCATTAGCAAACAACCACACAATAGGGTGGGAGAGGGTCAAGATTCTAAGAAGTAATCTATGGAGGTGGAGAGAGAGATTGATTACTGAATCCTGGTTTATTGAACCTACACCCAACACATGCAACCGAAATGACGCAATGCAAATACCAGAAATATGGAAGATATTATTACCACCAGTCAGTCAAATCAGAAGAGGATAATAAATAATCTCAAAATTCTATTTCAATTCAAGCAAATCACAACATTCTAACAAGTTACTTATTATGACTATAAAAGCACTCGTCTTATTTCCCATCTGATTGTAATTGATCAATAACACTCATATTATTATTGCTGAATGTACATTATCCCATATTGATGTTTATTCAAATGTCTAATCATCAATTCTACTCATGTATGTAAATGAAAGAAAAATGAGTAGCTTGATATGATTATGAATGGTAATAATTTGTGCTCGAAACGTGGTCATCAGTTAATATTACTGTGTAACACTGTGTGATTTATCAAAATAAAATCTTATCCATAATGGAGTTACACTCTACCACAGTGCCCAAGTTTTATACTTACATCAATAATACTCCACCATGTCACCCTCGCACTGACCACCAACTCGCCGCTTCCCATTCGGCTTCCACTCGAGAGCGATGGTCTGGCGTGTGATGTCATTTGATGGTTGGTTTTCTCAGAGTATGGCCAATCTTCCCGCTTATTTGTTGCACAATCGGTTCCTGATGGGTTCGTTCGCTCATTGCCAGAGATCCCTCCCTGTTGTTGATCTTTTCTGACCATCTGATCTTGAGTATTGAGCGAAGACAGCTGTTGATGTGAAGGTCTGTAGTTTGTTCGAAATGACCTTCGTGACGCGGCGCCAAGTAACTTATCTGTATAGTTAGTAGCACTGACTTCACATTGGAGTTGAAAATTCGGATCTAATTTTTATGCTGAGTGCTGCTGATCTCCACACAGACTTGAGAGTAATGAAAGCTTGCCCTGCTTTTCTGATCCTCGCTTTTATGGTATCCTCATCAGTTCCGCCGCCTGTAGCTGAAACGATGCTCCCGGTGCTTTGGCCGCTATAGTTTAGATTTACCGTGTTATCTACTCTCGTAAATATTTGTAATGTCTACAACTTGCTGGTTCGCAAGTTTCTGCTAAACTTGAAAAAAAGCAAAATTATGGGTGGGTGGAAACGTATCCCAATATATGAGATAATTGTGTCATTGAGATTTTCAGTACCAACTGCTACTCACTGCCTGAGAAATACAACTAATTACCAGCAGTCTTCAATTATTCAGCTATCATTATACCCTTGCGTCAGTGACACAACGGTAGGATGCTCGCCAACCACGCCTCATGTGGTTCTGGTTTCAATCACCAACCACCGATGCACTCCTTTACCTCGCTAAGCTAGTAATAAAATTGGTGAAGGGGGAAGGTTGGAAATGAGGCTAGCAACCCCATCCCGTGAAAATAAATATCACTGCTACTAAACCTTCACGCCTCTAGGTTGAAGCCCTATGTTCCACTGGGAACGTAAAGGAATAGAAAAATTATGGGTTAAAAAAATGTACTCCTGCACCTTTCTTAAATTGGTTTTCAACTAAACAGTGAGCATTTTTTGAAGGAGGGAGGCAAAGGAGAAATGTCAAAAGAGTTTTGTTTTCGCTTCAGGTCAGACGACACACAATGTATCACACGACTTTCTGTCACAGTTGGAGTATTTCACTTGAAGATCCTGCGCACAAAGAGAAACTATCACACAGTAATTTCCTCTGAAAATTCTGTGCAACATTACATGAGTTCTGTTCATCAGAATAAAGCCATTACCATTATTATTATTGTGAATAAAAAAAACATTGATGCATTTATTACTTACCTGACAATGAGTGAATAAATTGAAGAAAAGTGTAGGCTGATTATTACTTTGAGAGAGAACATTCTTCAGTTTCTCGAATAAATACTCAGTCAGAGTTGATTCCAAGTCGGGGAAATCAGCTTTCAGAGGTGTAATACTTCGAAACTAAAGAATAAAAAGAAGAGGAAGAGGTAAACAAAACATAACTGACCGAAATAGAGTAGTATGATAGTGCACTACTGACAAGATTTATCAGTAGTGTGGTAAGAGCTGCCTGCTAGCCAAAATTGGCAGACAGCAATTTAAGTCAATGTTTACGTCCCAAATCTTAGTCATGAGAAAAAAAAACAAGAACAAAGACTAACTCAACAACCAATCACGGTAGACTTTGCGTGGGCGGATATGAATCGCAGATACTTGGTCTGACCTTCAAAGAAATGGCCACAAAGAGATGACAGAATAACTTTCAGCGAGAAAACAACCAATCAGAAGACTCTGTTTCTCTGTTTATAATAACGTATATTAATGTACATAGAAATCTATAAGTATCTGTTGATTTTCTCAATAAACTATCTGTCACCTGACTCTTGTTATTAAAGCAGTAGTATGTAAAGACGTTCATCGGTACATAAATAGTGGGAAGGCAGATTTCATGTCAAAGAGAGGAAATAATGAACCAGCATTGCGGGAAGCATGAAAAGAGGACAAAGAAACACAATACGAACGGTAGAAGTAGTAAGCACAACACTGAAGGCCTGTGCATATGACGGATTTCACATACATGATTTCCTTATATGTGTATATCACACTGCAAATAAACGTTCCGTTGTCAAGTCTTCTGTCTCTCCCTGTTACAACAGAGGATATAAGATAGAAGAATACAGTGAAAGATTTGTTTTGAGAAAATAAAACACGGTAGAACTTACAATAAACTCCATAATGTTTGATAGCAGCTCAGTGTACTTAGCAGGTGCATCATCTGAAAAAGCCAAATATTAAAATAATCAATACATACACACATAAGAGAAATCGTAAAAAAAGAACGAACAACTCAGCAAATCGGGACCAATATAATATTCCAATGAATTTTGACTTACAATAACCACTCTAGGTGGGTCGTCTGGATAAACGTAATGTGGCCAAGTTAAGGAATAGCGACCAGGGAGTGCGAATGAACGTTATTCGTTGGTTAACGGAACCTATTATTATTATTATTATAGGCGCCACTATGACCCCCCACATACTCGAATCTAAGTGTGAACTTCATCCCAAACTCGTTTTCAAGTACTGCTTAGATAATAGGTTGATACCACATAGCCGTAAATGTTCTTGTGATGTGTTCTATGTACATTCAGCGGTTTTCAGAAACAGGTGACGGACATGTATTTAGGTGTACATAGTTTAGTATAGGAAATAAATTAGTATTAGTAATTGTAAGTTACACAGTCAATTCCTTCTTTTCTAAATCAAAACTGTCGCTGACAAATACACTTTTATCTGTTGTTACTGGACATAAAAGAATGGAGTGAGATCAACGGCTATAAAAACGAAAAACTAGTAAGTACCTACAGTGCAGTGATTCCACAACTGCGCAGAGATATAGCATCCTGGAAGATGAATATTGTCTCGCAGCTGTTCGGAGGAGATGGTATTATTGTTCCCATCGATGGAACCGTTCTGATAAAGTGATATAGCCATGGTCACCCTAAGGCAAATAATGTATGGATTTTGGGAATTCACGTTACAACAATTCAGAAGGGAATCTTGGGAATAATTCCCAGTCGTAGTGCGGACACTCTTCTATCCCTCAAACAAAGGTTAGTCATTCCTGACACTACTATATTCACACTGAAAAATGGGCGCGACACAATCAGCTATCAGATTTGGGTTTCACTCATTATCGAATAAATCATTCAGATGATTTTGCCAACCCTCTAATTGGAACCCATACTAAATCAATCGTGGGCTTCTGGGGAAAACTGCAAAAACAGGATAAGAGAAATGAACAGTTTTAATTGCATTTCATCTTATTATTATTTCATGCATTCACGCCAATGTTTGAATTCCCTCACCGCATATAACTTCTTAAAAACCATATATATACGATTGTACAGCTTGATGATAAATTCGTTGAAAAGAGTCTCTTCGCTGAATCATTTGTTTTGATTTTCAATAAACAGGTTACGAAAAAGAACTCATCTCCAGTCACCTTGATGATTACATGTATAGAATGGTACTCCTCATTATAAACGGGAGATATTTTCTAGTCATATCAGGGGAAAATATCCTATTTAATGTGTTTTCATATATTTCTCTTGTAAATAAACGTTATTTTTATGTATAAACCACTATTTTTGCTGATTGGTCGGCTTAATGTCTCTCGTGCGTTCGTATTTCATGGGTCGTTATAGTTTAAATTTACTATGTGTTCATACATGAAGAGAGTAAGACAAGCTGGCTGCCTACTATCTCCAATGATAATTTCCTGATTGCGGTAGACTGGATAATGCGACAGACAGACAGCAGGCAACGAGGAGACAGGCATAAAATGGACCCATACAAAAAACTTGGAGGATCTGGACTTCGCCGATGATATATGTCTGATTTTCCACAAACTGGAAGATATGCAAGTGAAAAGCAACAAGTTGACAGAAGAAGAAGCATCAAAAGGACTTCCTTCAGGTGAACACAGAGAAAACAGAAGTGATGAACATTCCTGGCCAACAGCAACAGCAACAACAACAACTGACAACAATCAGCATAAATGGGAAAGATCTGAAAGAAGTAACCTCCTTTACCTACCTAACTACCTGGGAAGCATCGTTTCAACTACAGGCGGACGGAACTGACGAGGATATCAAAGCGAGGATCGGGAAAGCAAGGCAAGCTTTCAATACTCTCAAGTGTCTGTGTGGAGGTCAACAGCACTCAGCATGAAAAATAAGATCCGGATTTTCAATTCCAATGTGAAGTCAGTGCTACTATACGGATCAGAGACTTGGCGCGTCACGAAGGGCACTTCGAACAAACTACAGACCTTCACATCAACAGTTCTCTTCGCTCAATACTCAAGATCAGATGGCCAGAAAAGATCAGAAGTAGTGAGGGATCTCTGGGAACAAACTAACTGTGCAACAAATATGCGGGAAGAAATGGAGGTGAATTGGTCATACTCTGAGAAAACAAATCATCATGTGACATCACACGCCAGGCCATCGCTCTCGAGTGGAACCCGAATGGGAAGCGGCGAGTTGGTCGTCAGTGCGACGGTGACATGGAGGAGGTGATGCGAAGAGGAGATGAAAGCATGTGGGCGGACATGGAGCCAGGTGAAAACGTTGGCGGAGAACCGAACGCAATGGAGAGGTGCGGCTGAAGCCCTATGTTCCTCTAGGAACTAGAGGAGACAATATAAAATAATAATCATACATGAAGTACTATCATACAGCCTCTTAACTTTTTCATCACTACTGGTAGAATACAATGTAAGAAAACAGACAAATACATGTCCACACAGAACAACAACAATAATAATAATAATAAAAAGAATACACCTACTCAGTTTAGCATCATCTATGAATGATTTAATAAGTTTCTGAAGATGCATTTGTTGATCAGAGTCTTTAAGGCATTCAACAAATTCCGATTGAGTTCTTTGTGATCTAAAGTGACATTTCTGGACTGCATGTGAAATACGTGATAATGGTGGGACATCGCCGTAACGTGCAACGAAACTTGTTTTCTTTTTCTGTTTCTGATTAACGATGGATTTCTCTGAGGTGGAATCACTACGTGATTTAGCCATTTCATATTCAATAGATCCTTTGCTTATATCAATGATAAGATCAAGAGTAGGCTGAAAAAGTAAGGGGAAAAAAAGTGTATTGATTATCACCGTCTTTATTGTTTTAAAAAGAAGTGAATACTTATATAAACTAAGAGTACATAAAAGGCAAAGTTACTGGGAGTCACAGTTGAGCGGAAAATAAAACAATCTCGGCACCTGATCATCTGTCAACCAATGAACAATGATTTCAAAGTAGGTTGCTTTTTCGCGGAATGAAATACAACAGACAAGCATTGAAAACAAGACAGCATTAAGTAGCTGCATCACTACAGGTTGGGAACCTACAAAGCAGTGCACACCAACAACTGCATCAAGAAATTCCATATCAGTTTGTTTATTAGGTATATCATAAAGTGAAACAGTATTATTTACTGGATGACACAGTTTCGAACAAAATTTATTGTTCATAATCATATCAATTGTGATCACACGACTTTGACACTTGGGTTTTATAGCTTTCTTTGTTCTCTCCTATTTGTCGTAGGGGTAGTAGAATTTTCCAGATGTCCGGCTGGACAGGTGTTGAATCATTCCTATTACATGTATTTGTAGTTGATTCGATAAACAAAGCTTCCGTTACCAATCTCTCCCTCCACCCTGTCACATTAGATTTCAAAACTGTCATCTTATCCCATCCATCCTATTGTATGGTTGTGTGTAATTGCATGTAGTGAGTGTTATAGCTGAACTATTCTCTAGATTTCTTATCTTATTCAGGTCAACTAATCTAGATTTCCTGCTAAGTTTTTATGTTCAGCTAGTCTGACTGCCCCTGTTCTACTAGTTTGACCTATGTATTTGACCTGACAATCATTACAACAGGGTATTAGATAAACTAAATTGTTTTGTTTTAAAGGCTCCACAGGATTGATCCTTTAACCGACAAAGCTTGTTTCTAATTGAGTTTGTGGGTTTGAATGCCGTTTTTATTCCTGCCTTGTTAAGAATTCTGCGTAAGGCTTCCGAGGTTCCTTCTTTGTTTGGAATTACTACCGATGATTTAGATTCCTTATTGTTGGTGTCGTCATTAATATTATTATTATCACTATTATTATTATCATTATTATTATTATCACTATCGCTACTATCATTATTTATTTTATTTTTCCATTTCCTTACATATTTCCTGACTAATTTATCAGGGTAATTATTAAGTTTCAAGGCTTCTCTTATATGTACCACTTCCTGTCTTTTATTTTTTCTTGGTACTACTTAGTTTTTGTGCTCTGTCACTTAAACATTTCACCAATCCTATTTTTACTGACATAGGATGGGATGATCGGAAGTCCAAATATCTGTTTGAATGTGTGGGTTTCCTGTAAACACTAGTGTTTAACTTCCCATCTTCTTTCCTTTTTACGTTGCAATCAAGCATTGGGAGCTCCCCTTCCTGACTTTCCAATTCATAAGTGAATTGAATTGCTTTAACAGTTGAGTTTTAAAATCTAATGTGACAGCTGGGTGGAGGGAGAGATTGATAACAGAAACTTTGTTTATCGAATCAACTGCAAATACATGTAACAGGAATGATTCATCACCTGTCCAGCCGGACATCTGGAAAATCCTACTACCCCTACGACAAATAGGAGAGAACAAAGAAAACTATAAAACTCAAGTGTCAAAGTAGTGTGATTACAATTGATATGATTATGAACAATAAATTATGTTCGAAACCTTGTCATCCAGTATGTAATAATACTGTTTCACTGTGTGATACATCTAATAAAAAACCAATATGGAAATACTTACTACCACAGTGCCCAAGTTTTACACATATATTAACTGCATCAAGAACTGAACCTCGAAAGGTTCGGTTTATGAGATGAGCATATTACCATTTTTCTCAGGGTTTCTTGCTCCTAATGCTTTCTGACCTGCCATTTGACCTTCAGTATGGAGATAACGAAAACAGCTGTTGATAAAAATGCCTTTCGTGAGGCACATGGTCATTGAAATACATAAAACTAGATTGGTATTGAAAATCCGAATCTAGTTGTTTGTACTGAATGTACTGAAGATTTCCAAGGTGATGTCAGATTGGTGAAGGTTTGTCTTGCTATTCCAATTCTGGTTGATTTTGACATCCTTATTCTTGCTGACTGCCTGCATTCGAAACAGTGCTGACGAGATAAGTAAGCGAAATGACCTCTTTCAATTTTTTTTCTGTTGACATTGATTGGTGCTTGTTGTTGGTTGGTTGGTTATTTTCACCCCCTCTGTTTTCTCTATATTCACTTGAAGTCCTTTTTTCACTGTCATCCTCTTCTGCAGACTTGTCAGTTTCCGCCCTTATTTCTGTGTGATATTTGACATCAATTGTCCGCAATGTCCAGATATTTTAGAGTATTCCTATCGATCCAACGTATTCCTGTCTTCTTGACCCCCACATGCAGTGCTTTACATAATCCAGTCCCCCACAATTAGGAATATCAGTGACAATAGTAGACAGCCTTTTCTTACTCCTGTCTTCATTTCAAGTGCTTCACTGGGTTTTCCATTGTGTGTCATTGTCATATAGTTGATGTTAATGAAGGCTGCTCAAAAGATATGCTGAAGAAAATGGAGATGGATAAAACACACGCTGAGGAGACCGTTGCGTGACATCACTCAGGTGGAACCCAAACGCGAAACGAAGAGGTCGGCATAGATCTCAGGGTGACATGGAACAGAGATCGTGTAAGGAGGGGATGTGAGATTATAAGCTATCGTGGGACCAGCTGAAGAGGACTCCAGAGAACAGGACAAAATGGAGATGTGTTGTTGAAGCCCTATGTTCAACTTGGAACTCAAGAGAATAATAATAATACCATTCAAACAATGAGTTAGAATCCACTAGTTCATGAGTTCTAACTTCGGAATCTAAAATTAGGATCGTTTAAGTCGTCGCCAAAAACCTAAAAGGTCAATAATTATCCACTGTTCACTAGTAGTGACCATATTCGAGATGGACTCCTTGAAGACCTAAGGGGTGTAAGTATGACGAGTGAAGACAATAACGCACTGATCGTATTCCACAGTGATAATATCACTTCATGAACTGAGAGAAATTAGAATTCGTGTGCTACTGGTTGTCGACTAGCTGACTAAATCACTTTGTAACCCTGAAGATATTTTGTTTAATCCTCAGTGATGAAAATATAGTTCATAATCATTGCTGAAAGCCTTTTAACTAGGTCTAAACAGCTAGTCAAGTAATGCATTGCTTCAAATCGTTGTCAAACTACTAACTCGTGACAAAAGCATTACATTGAAACTATTCCAACAATGACATATACATATTTCAATTGTCGAGACTTACCAACAAAAGTTGTGGTTCAGAACAATATTGTAGAATGCATTCAATCAAATCGAAACATCTGTAAACACAAGTAAAATATAGTTGTCAACTGTCTCTATAGTCTGTGTATAATTTAACTTACATTTCAAAAAGACTAACTACATTTTATAAATTATGCTCAAGTTGATGTGTACTAATCATCGTTTCTTCATACACTTATTTCCCTTGATATAAGGATAAAACTTGGGCACTGTGGTAGACTATAACTCCATTAAAGATAAAATTTTATTTTGGTAAAAATCATACAGTGTTGTTATACAGTAATATTAACTGATGACCACGTTTCGAGCACAATAAAATTTTATCCATAATGAGATTATAATCTACCACAATGCCCAAGTTTTATCCTTACATCAATTATTTGTAATTCTCTGATTTGACTGGTAATAAAGCCTTCTAGTATTTGCGTTGAGTCACTTCTATTGCATGTGTTGGGTGTAGTAGACTCGATGAACCAGGAAGGATTCAGTAATCAACAACAACACTCGTCTTATTTCCCATCTGATTGTATTTTATTGATAACAACAATATTCGTTCCAAATGTTCTTTGTGTCTTCCTTTCTGTTACACGCATGTCTTATATATATATATATATATATATATATATATATATATATATATATATATATTATTCAAATGTCTAGTCATCAGTTCCACTCATGTATATAAATGAAGCAAGAAAGTTGTGTGAGTGTGGGTGTCTTGATATGATTATGAGCAGTAATAAATTGTGCTCGAAATGTGGTCATCAGTAAATATTACTGTATAACAACACTGTGTGTGATTTTATGAAAATAAAATTTTTTCCATTATGGATAAGATTTTATTTTGATAAGTCACACAGTGTTGTTACACAGTAATATTAACTGATGAAGTTTCGAGCACAATTTATTACTGCTCATAAACATTTCAAGACACCCACACTCACACAACTTTTTTCCTTCATTTATTCATGGAATAAAGTTCAATATGAGATAATGTACATTCAGAAATAATTATAGTACGAGTGTTATTGATCAAATACAATCAGATGGGAAATAAGATGAGTGTTTCTTTTAGTTATAATAAGTAACTTGTTAGAATGTTGTGATGTGCTTGAATTGAAATAGAGTATTAAGATTATTTATTATCCTCCTCTGATTTGACTGACTGACTGGTGGTGATAATATCTTCCATATCCCTGGTATATGCATTGAGTTACTTATTATGACTATAGAAACACTCGTCTTATTTTCCATTTAAGTGTAATTGATCAATAACACTCGTTTTATTATTTCTGAATGTACATTATCTCATATTGAATTTTATTCCAATATCTAATCGATTCCACACATGTATATAAATGAAGCAAGAAAGTTGTGTGAGTAACTTGATATGATTATGAGTGGCAATAGTTTGTGCTCGAAACGTGGTCATCAGTTAATATTACTGTACAACACTGTGTGATTTATCAAAATAAAATCTTATCCATAATGGAGTTATGCTCTACCACAGTGCCCAAGTTTTATCCTTACATACAGCTTGTACTATGAAATACGGATCGAACCGTATGCTTATGATGTGGTAGGAATACGCCTTACTTGGCTTCCTAAATCTCTACTAACTGGAAGAAGACTGAAATCCACGATCCATTGAGTGGAAGCTGATTGATTAAATTAAAGAGCTTCAACTTCACAATAAATTGCCCATAATTATTAATTAGTAATTAATAAACAAGTGCTTCGATGCAATGGCAAGGGAGTTAGGTAACAAAGACAAAGGTGAATAAGATAGTGAACAACTAATAAACTGAGTAACTCAATTTATCAGTGTTACTTTGTTGCGAAGGTTGACAGATATCCTTCTCATGTTAACTCTAACTTTGTATACAGATTTACATGTATCTGTGTTAGCAGTTACATTGGATGAACAGAAAGAAGGATCTACCACCAATTTTATGAACATTTAATAGAAAGTCTGCGTTTCAAGGGAACAAACACTTACAATAATGCCACTGCCAGACAACTCACCTGTATGGGTCACGAAGTGGATATGGTTAAATCCTTTAATGTTATCAATAGATAAAATAGTTTAATTCTCCGCAGGTCAGCCGAAGCAATCGTTGTTAAACGCCTGAAACTCGTTTATACATGTTCAGGAAGAAGGAGTTATTAATCTTTCATTGCCCTGCTAGCTGGATGTCTCTCTTTCAGTTGATTGTGCAATCTTCGGCTTTAACCTCCCCTCCCTCCCCCACTAATCGCTGTAGTGTAATTCTGCTTGTCTCTTGTTTCCATAACTTTAGTTGAATTCACCACATTGCGACTCAATTTATTGGTTACTCATCATCTTATTCACCTCTTGTTTCTGTTACATAACTTCGTTGCCATTGTATCCAAGCCTTTATTTTGGTCTAGACAGGAACTTTCTGGGCATAAACTATCTCCTATCATTTACTGATATTATGTAATATTTACAAGTATATTGAAATTGTTTTGTATGTAAACTTAATAATTTTCTTAGGCTGTAGGCAGCTGCTGAGAAGCCGATGAAATAAAAGACGGTACTATCAAACTGTTGTCCTTGCTTCACTTTTTCTCTTATTTCTCTGTGTACCAAGTAGAGCTGCAACCTTCAGCTTCGAAGTTTCAGTAGCCGAAGTATTTCCCTACAGAGGGGGAAGTCGCTAGCGCCACGTCCAATCTTTCCTCTTTACTGTGCTTTCTACCGACTAAACAAGATTTAGGAGTTCGTCGTCCGGGAATCGAATCCTGACTGAGTAAGCGTTTGATGAGTACTCTATCAGTGAACCGCCGACGACACATGTACTAGTCATTATGTTAAAAAGCAACATTCATAGTAAAAATATCATATGACAAGTTAATCATTACAATTACCTCATTTTTAATTGACCAAGTGTACGAGCTTGTTCTGCAACTATACGTTGAGGTGTTTGCATATGAACACGGAATGCAGCTGCCAATGCTTCATTACGTGCGAACATTTCTGCATCTGTAAACTCTTTGAATTCAGTGTCACCTTCTTCACAGTCCATAGCAGCTGGACCAAGTGCAGCACGTACACTCTCTTTAATTTTTTTCAATTCATCATCATCAATATCAATGTCTTCTTCAAGTGGATCAGAGTCAGAATCATCTGAAGCTTTAATAAATGCGATGTAATATTAGTGACTACTTTCAAGTAGTATAAAAAAGCTATTATAAAAAGACAATTTTGTGCAGAAGATAATAATAATATGTATGTGTGAAAATGAAATACATTACAAGTGTTGGTTTGTGGAGATTTAACTGGTTATAGGAATTCATCATGATGACCTGATATAAGTTAGGGAACCATTGGAAACCTAGGAGTGCTAGACAGGTGTTTCGCCAGCCTAGTTTGGGACTCTTCAGCATTACGCGCACATCGCCAGGGTTCGAACCCGGGAGCTTCGAGTAGACCATTAAGTCACTGGAACCCGATCCAATGTGCAGTCAGTCAGTCCGTTTTCGACATAGAACTATGCACCGAAGTGCAGCAGTTCAATTCGCCACACTCCCTCCATGTACCACACAAAGCAATAAAAGAAAGTAGAAGAAATGCATAATAGAGAGACTAGACAGGGATACGAGACAAAAGGAATGGTAATAACGAAGAACAATTTAGTTTCATTGGAAATTATAAGTCACAAGGAGTGGATACATCTGCACCAGTCCCTGAGAACGATTTCGAGCCATATCATCAATTGTCTCCAGCCTTCATTGGTTTTTATCGTCCAGAGGATCCCAAACAGTTAGGAAGCGTACACCTTCCTACGTTGGCTGGCTTAAACTAACTGTTGTGGATTTCATTGACTGATGAAGCCATGTTTTGGTTTGACAACCAGCGGCTTTTTGCCAACCTGACCCTATGTCAGCTAACATTGACCGTCGAGGAAGGTGATGACTTGGCACGCGTAACACATGTCCTAACTATCTCAGTCGATGTAGTTTCACAGTCTCGTCGACTGATTTCCCCTCCTTACCTAGCACTCAACCGAAACCTAACCTCAATATTGCCCACCCTATTATGCCACTTCACACAGGAGATAGAACGCAGACACCTATGATCAAAGACAGCTAGTCTTTTTATGCCTTCCCCTCTCAATCGTCAGGTCTCACATCCATAAAGGTAGACGGAGCGGACTGCTGAGCAGTACACCCGCCCTTTGTCCAATGTCCAACCCATGAATTCTAATTTCTGGCAATTCTTGACATAGCGCGACCAATTAGCAATGTCTTCTTCGATGAGTAACTGTCCTCACCTTCGACCTGCTGTCCTATCACGGCTTTCTACTAGAACGCAAGTAACTACCTACCTGAATAGGGCCAGTCGCTAGTGAGCAACAGATAAATATTCAACTGTTGGTTTGTAACCGGAAGGTCCTGGGTTCGAGACCTGGTAGGTGGATGCTGATGACGAGTCACAAACTGGGACGAAACAGTTGTCCAGTATTCCCAGGTTCACCGACGGTTCTCTAACCAATGTCAGGTCATCATGATGAAATATATTTCGTTGCAGTGGAGTACAAAAATTTCGTAGCAAAATGATGGATCCTCTCAGTTGTTTAAAATTTGTGATATTTCTTGCTAACCCTAATATACTGGTAGATAGTGCGTGGTATCAAGTCATGATTTACTGGGAGAGGATTTTCAATACCTACATAAATGCATCACAGCTGCACAAACCAGACAGTAATCAAGAGAGAAATTCTAAAAATACTGACGTACAGTATAGTATGCATAAATGAAAACACAGGCGGCTACGGAAATCCTCCATCAACACATACAGCATATAATCTCTTGGTCAGTTTGTTTTAATCTATTAAGACATGACCTCTAATATAGTATTATTTACTCGTGTTCTATAATTATCATTATAGGAATATTTAAATTCAAAAAATTTAAAAAAAAAACTTACTTTCATCACCGCTTGTTTCCTGATTCACTTCATCATCATTATTCCCCTTATCATCATCAACTGTCTCCTCTGAATCACTAATCTGCATCATTGACTCCTGTTCATCAGATTGTACTAATCTCGTTGAAAATTGAACTAAATCTTCTTCTGTTTCTGATTCATCAGAATCCCCTTCATCGTATTTCGAATTATTGTTGGTACGCTTTGTCGGTCGCGTTTTCAGGATATCACCAATTAATTTTAAACATGATGGATATTTCCCATCCGCGTTGCTGTTGTTATTATCACTGGTTAATACAAATACTTTCTCTGTAATCATTTTCTTAAAGGTTAAACGACTAGCAGAGCGTAACATACGAATAGGATAAGAAATAGCACTTAGGATAACGTCTGTAAGAACTTCTGACCAATGTGGAGTTTCGTTGACAGCATTCTTCACGCGCCTTTTTCTACATTCGATGATATCACTAATCAGGGTTACAGTATCTTTATAGAGAATGAAAAAATAAAAATAAACAAAATGAAAAAAAGATTGTATCAGGCATCGTAGATTTATGCGAATCTATAGTACAGTTTTAGTTAGTAAACATATAAAAAGTAATAGGGTATATAGAAGGCTCATTCATTCAATGGTGCATATTTAACAATGCTTCTCTAACCAATGTCAGCTCATGATGAAATCCTGTAACCAATCAACCAAATCCCTACAAACCAATACTTGAATATTTACTTGTATAATGCAACACCCCTTAAAATACTCATGAGACACTTCAAGAAGAAATGAAGAGAGATATGGTTGGTTGGCTGGAGTCGAGGGAGATTTCCCTCATTTAATGCCTCTTGGATGCGAACCCCCATTGGACCTATTTTTCCCTGGGCAACTTTACTGGATAGGATAGTATTACAAGGCCTCATACGATAAGGTGTAGCTCACAGCTTGGTGTACAAAAAAGCCTGTCCCAACAATTTGAGTTAGACAATTATTTCATGCAGAAATAACTCCTTGATTGTTTTCAGATAGAAATGAAATGGAACCAAAAGAAAAATTAATCAAAAGCATCCTGAAACTTGAGGTTTCTAGTTTTCGACATTAGAATGAATTAGCTAACCTGTAATCGAAATTCTGTTATACACCAACCTGAATAGCTCAGTTGGAATATCTCTGACTACAGCACTGGGTGACGCGGGTTCGAATTCCAGAGGGGACATGAATTCCTATAAGGATGCAAACAACAGGAAGCCTTCAACCTAGGTTTCGTGCTTGTCAGCACGAGTCAACAAGGCGTACCTGCAATCTTCAGGGCAATCATGTTCCCTCTCAGATTCAAATCTGTGTCACGCGGTGCTGCAGTCAGAGACGTTGCCACTGAGCTATTCGAGCTAGCGACTGACCTTCTATAGGACACTGTGTTGGATACTTTGATTGGACACTAGGCAGTAACCAGTGTAAATTTTATTTTGATAGAATCTCACAGTGTTATACAGTAATATTTACTGTATCAGTAAATATTACTGTATAACACTGTGAGATTCTATCAAAATAAAATTTACCCATAATGGAATTACACTCTACCACAGTCCCCAAGTTTTATTCTTATATCAATAACCAGTGTAGTGTGTGTCTAGTTTTTTAGTTTGGCGCAGACTGAATTCTATTGTCAGTCTAATTTGCAATGTGCTGAGTGGATTGACATCACGGTGCATTCAGAATTGTTGTGACTGGATGTCTGGAGGCGATCGGAAAGAAGCCTAGGACCTAGGTTTCATGCTTGTTGGCAGATGCGCCTTGTTGACTGTTGCTAATAAGAACGTAACCGAGGTTCCCCGGGCTTTTTGTCGATTGTCTCCAACTACCTAACGATAAAACCAAACATCTAGTGAAAATTTAATTTACTACATACTATGAATAGAACTTTATCTTATTTGCCTAGCTATTTAACTTTCAACCAGTTGGTAGGGTGGCCTTCCTAAACCCAGCTCCACTAATTAAGATTTAGCAATGTAGGCAGCATCACTAGCACTAATATACAGGTGTGCTTCATTGCGACATGACTAAATAACGTAATAATATTGGCAAAATCAAACTCTCACCAGTCACTTCAAGTCGATAGAAATAAGACCTGATGTATAGTTAATAAATATATCCTCAGAGTATAAAATAACAGTTAAATAGATAAGTTGAATGAGGCTAATTTGTGGTCATCACTATGTACCTAGAAGACCTGGATTTCGCGCGTGGGTGATTTATGTTTGATGTCACACAAAATCGAAGATTTACAAGCGAAAACTGACAAACTGGTCGAAGAAGCAGCAAAGACAGGACTCCAGGTGAACATAGACAAGACAGAGGTTATGAAAATAACCAACCAACAACAACAGCAGCAGCAAAATCCACCACCAATCACCATCAACGGGAGGGATTTGAAAGAGGTTACTTCATTCACTTATCTAGGGAGCATTGTCTCAACTACAGGAGGAACGGACGGACGAGGATGTCAAATCGAGAATCGGGAAGGCGAGAAACACATTCATCAACCTGAAACCAATCTGGAAATCTTCGTCACTCAACTCAGCATCAACAACAACATTCGGACTTTCAATACAAACGTCAAGTCAGTTCTCCTATATGAAACTTGACGGGTCACAAAGAATATTTCCAACAGCCTGTTGCAGACCTTTATCAACAACTAACTGTCTTCGCTCTATACTGATGATAAGATGGCCGGAAAGAATCACCAACAGGAAACTATGGGAACAAACAAAACAAGAACCAATCGCCCAACAAATATGTAGGAGAAAGTGGAGATGGATTGGACACTCGCTGAGCTGAGGAGGCCGCTGGGTGACATCGCGCGTCAGGCCATAGCTCGAGTGGAACCCGAAAGGGAAGCGGCGAGTGGGACATCCAAGGCTGACATGGAGAAGATCGTGTGAAGAGGAGTTGAAACAGTATGGAATAACATGGATGCAGGTAAAAAGTACAGCAGAAGACAGAAGCAAGTGAAGACGTGCAGCTGAAGCCCTATTTTCCACTAGGAACCCAAGGGAACAACAACAACAACTACGTACTCACCGAGACAAGCATGAAATTCTATCCTTTTGTACTTATAACTTTATAAACTTTGAATTTTATGTTAAGGTTTGAACAATTAGCTTGTGCATCAAAAATATATGTGACCAGTTAATTCCATATCTTTAACATGCCCCATTTACCACAGATACTATCCAACTTCCATATATACACATTAAATGTGGCTAGTAGCCTAGTACTGAATGCATACCAGTTGACACTCATTTCAACTTTTGCAAACACTGTACAACAACAACTACTACTACAGAGCACGTTTTCACAGTGTTGAACAAAGCGAATTCCTAGTGAAAATTATATATGCATGAGTGTACAACTAAATTGCTCACTGACTGCCCCAATTTCTATTCAATTGCATAATACATGTACTACTAATGAAATTGATCCTAACTGAGTTTAGCGACTAAGGGAATGACTTGTTACTACCAGGGAATAATCTTGTTGACTTAGAATATGCATATGATGTGGTCCTTCTAGATGAAGACGCTGACAAACTTCAGTGTCTCCTAAACACCAGTAGAAATCCTCAAATGATTGGCATGTGACTCACGTCTGTTAAATGTAAGATGATGGCATAGAACTGAACTATATACATATTGGCTCCTGTCTGGATTCAACACAGAACTTGACACCGAAGTGCAGCAGTTCGAGTTGACACGTTCCAAATAGCACACATAGGTAGACAAGAAAATGAGTGAAGAGAATCAGTAGAGTTTTGACAAGGGTAAGAGTGAAACAGAATGAGTAATGGTAGAAAGGAGTAAGAAGGTTAAAGAGACTGAATACATCTGCGTAAGCCATTGACAACGATTTTGAGCCATGTCACCTATTGTCTCCAGCCATTGATTCTTAGAGTCCCAAGGGCGGGCCCCAACCCGGAAGTCTGCATCTCCCTACCTGACTCAGTTTAACTGTCAGGGATTTCATGGATTGATTGATGCCGTGTTTTTGTTTGGCCACCACTTACTCTTTTCCAACCTGCACCTATATCAGCCAGCAATGCCCGTCGGAGGAGGCGATGGTTAGGCATGCGCAGCATGTGACCTAGACATCTCAATCTATGTAACTTTATAGCCTCATCAATTGATTTTCCCTCTTCGCCCAACACTCTACACCTAACGCCAACATTACTTACCTTATTATACCACCTAACGCGAGAGAGAGATCGTAAACATCTGTGGTCAAAAACAGACAATCTCTTCACGTCTTCCGCTCTCAATGGCCACGTCTCACCACCATAGAGAAGGACGGAGCGAACTGGTGAGCAGTACACACGTCCCTTGGTTGATAGCCGGATGTCACGCCTACGCCAGAGACGGTGTAAGTTAGCGAAAGCAGCTCGAGCTTTTTGGATCCGTGCTGAGATTTCGTCAGCAATCAATCTGTTGGTGCTGATACAACTTCCCAAATAGGTGAAGTGGTCAATATGTTCTATCACTTCACTCCCTATCACTAAGATAGGGGTAGACGTAGTCCAGTCCTGTAGCAGCATCTTACATTTTACAGGGGCGAATCACATGCCAAACATACGAAGATTGCTGCTCAAGGTGTTCAGAAGACTCCGCATTTTGTCAGCATCCTCCCCTAACAGGACTATATCATCTGCATATTCTAAGTCTATAAGACTATTCCCTGGTAACAAGTCGATTCCTAAGTCGTTAAGTTCAGTTAAGGATACTTCCATTAGCATATATATGATGAGTTCCTAGTGAAAATTATATATGCACGAGTGTACAACTAAATTGCCCAATGCCCCAATTTCTCTTCAATTGCATAATACATGTACTACTAATGAAATTGATCCTAACTGAGTTTAGCGGCTTGGGGAATTTGTTACCAGGGTATAGTCTTGCTGACTTAGAATATGCATATGATGGGATGCTTCTAGATGAAAACACTGACAAACTTCAGAGTCTTCTAAACACCAGCAGAAATCCTCAAATGATTGGCATGTGACTCACGTCTGTCAAATGTAAGATGATGGCACAGAACTGAACTATATATATATATATATATATATATATATATATATATAGGCTCCTAGCTTAAAAATATGGAGTGAAATGGTAGAGCGTATTGATCATTTTCACTTATTTGAGAAGTAGCACCAACCAGCCCCAAAGGACTGATTGGTGACGAAATCTCAGCACTGACACAAAAGGCTTATAGGACATTTTCCAACTCGTGCCATCTCTACCTCAGACGTGACGTCTGTCTAGTTATCGATCAAAGGATGAGTATTACTGTTCAGCAGCTCACTCTGTCCTCCTTTATGTCTGTGAGTGAGACATGGCCACTGGAAGTGGAGGACATGAAAAGACTAGCTGTCTTTGATCACGGGATTCTCCGTTCTATCTCCCGCGTTAAGTAGTATAATAAGATGAGTAATACTGAGGTTAGACGTCGACAGGTAGAAAAGAGGGAAAATCAATCGATGAGGCTGTGAAAGTGAATTGATTGGGATGGTTAGGACATGTAGTTTGCATACACCGAGCCATCATCTTCCTCGACGGGTAATGTGTTATCTAACATAGGATCAGGTTGGACAAGAGTTACTGGGTGGTGAAACCAAAACATGGAATCGGTCAACGAAATCTTTGGTAGTTAACTTGCGCCAGCCACGTAGGTAGGTGTAAACTGACAGAACAGTTGGGGTCCTGGGGATTCTAGGAGCCAATGGCTGGAAACAATCAGTGATATAGCCTGACATTGTTGTCAATGGCGCAGATGTATTCACTCTTTGTGATTTGTCATACCCATATTACTATTCTTTTTCTTTCTCTATAGTTGGTTTGTAAGGCTTAGTTTAGTTTTTCACGAGTTGATCACGGATTGATATCAGTTAGAGAACCACTGAAAACCAGTAATGGAGTACTGGACAGCTGTTTCATTCTAGTGCTTTGGAATCATCGGCACTACTCACCCACTGGGGTTCAAACCCAGGACCTTCCCGTTACAAGGCAAGCTCATATACCATTCAGCCACTGGGACCCGATTCAATGACCAGTCCATGAATTCTAACTTCTACCAATTCGTGATTTAGCGCGACTGGAACCAACCAATGTCGTCGGTGGGACATCCATCTTCACACCTGACATCTGGATGGACCTTACTGGTCACGAATTCTCACTACAACTCCAGGAAACTCCGTCCTGTAGCAAGTCTCACATTTCTACTTACTGCTGTTCTTTCGAATCTCTGTTTTTCCTTTCTTTTGGGTTTCTCAGCGTGACACATGGAGTGTGGTGACTCAAACTGCTTGACATCTGTGCAAAGTTCTATGTTGGACCCAGTTAGTCGGTCATACAACTAAACCTTCACACAACGCAGACTTATATCAGCTATTCCTTACAAAGGAATCTAACGAATAACCTTGAGCAAGTTACTTACGACAACCGCTTATGATAATTTACTGTTGTGAAAGAAATGTCAGGTCGCTCTAGGTGAATACGATATTACCAAAGTAACAGATGATATAATAATGATAGTTCTTACCTTCATGTGGCATAGAGAAAGAGAAGACAGAACAAGCAGCGCATAAAATTAAGATATACTGATCCAACTGATCCTGAGAATCGACTTTTTGTAGCAGTTGAAGACACTGTTTTAGTGAATCCATATTTAGAGGAGAGTTATCACTGCTGCCCGCAAACTTTGAGCATTGTGAAATCCCATTCTTGATAAGAGTTATAAAGTGTTTAATTACGTCTAGGCTGGAGATATTTTTTGATGCTTGATGTGGATCAGAATGCTTGCTAGTGCTAGCCGTCTGAAGAATCATGCCATCCAGTGTACTAAATATAGCCGACCAAGCGCCTTTACCAACAGTTTCAGAGATTGGTACTTTTAAATTGCTCATATCAACTTTATGCGAATAGGCTAAACCAATCGTCATTAAAAAGTTGAGTATCTCATCAAACAGCTTTCCTGAATCTGCATGTCTGAATCTTATAATTGTTTGCATAATGATTTGTAGATATTTGATGATAAACAGACGAACAGTATCAGGTGAATGACAGTATCCAGAATCATCTGTCTTAGGATTTGCAGCTTTCGATGTGTTATAGATTTCAGTGTTAGCAAAGGCATGCGTTAGTTGTTTGACAAACAACTGAAGAGTGTCAAGTGTCAGCGATAACGGTGCAGATTCGAAGATAATCTGTGGAATTGAAAAACAAATATTATCACAACTAACTTCAAAAACTAAATCATTGGATGCTTCTCTTCAACAGAACTCATTACCTTTACAAATCACTTTCGGATACAAACTAGTTATTACCTTGGACTGAGTCTGAAAACAGACAGGCTGGTTTCAGGATGATACCTGAGAAAATGATGACTGAAGGCTTTCTTGCGTTCACATTCGAATCAATGGCCTACAGACTAAAGTTCCAGTGCTTTATTACCTGGGTTACAAAACTCACCTGGGAATCAGGGGTTAATTTTTCAACAATCCTCTTACATTAGGGTGAGTCAGTTATAGTTGTTTCACACATTATTTTGCAAAACTGTTTTTTTTTCAAGTCTGACCACGGATTGAAATCAGTTAGAGAACCATTGAAAACTACCACTGGAGTACTGGACAGCTGTCTCGTCCTAGTTCCAGACTCACTGGCAGCACGCACCTACTGGTATTCGGACCCAGGACCTTCCTTACTTACTTTACTTTACTTCGGCTATCTCCTACGGAAGGATGAGCCGGCTTCATGAACATCTCGAATCATCGCTGCCCAGGCGCGGCGATCTGATGAAGAGAGTTCATGAAGTTTCATGGGAATTTGGTACGAATGATGTCCCCAGAATCGCTCGGCCTTTTGTTTGAGAGTGCAGCTCTAGCCTTTACACAACCAGGTGTGACCTACAAGGCAGTAGGGAGTCCACTATCCATTGGCAGCCGGTGACCGGAGTTCGGTTCATACGCCTTTTTGAATGGGGCCAGACATCCAGGACATCCAACAAGCCCTTTGTCCATACGTCTGCCGGTGAGCTCCAGTGAGCTTCATACGCTAGTCGTTGGAGGTTTGGAATCAGGGTTTAGCCATCTCCCCTAGACTGTCATCCAATGGACAGTCAACCCGGTGTAGAGCGCCGGGCATCCGCTTTCGCCCTCTCACTTTGGTGAAAAACACCTACGCCACGTGAAAGCAGTGAGTAGGACTTCCTCAGGAGAGGCTATGTAAGACGCCCGGTCATATGGGAGCATTTCAAGAGGTGTGCGGAGGGGTGGCCAACCCGCAGCGCAAGGCACCCACCCCCGACCATCCTGAGGCTTTGGAGGCCAGGACCTTCCGGTCACAAGTCAAGCTCTTAAACCAGTCAGCCACTGGAACGTGTCTCAATGACCCATGAATTCGAACTTCAACCAACTTGTAATTCTAGCGTGATCACTAATCAATATAATCGGCGAGTATTTGTCCTCACTCGCGACTGCGAGTGGACCCTACTGGTCACGACCTCTCACTAGAAGTTCAGGCAACTTTGTCCTGTAGCTAGCTACTAAAGGGTAGCAGATTAGCCTTTCAAAAAGTTAATTTGTGGGGATTTGAATTTGTTTCATGTCTGATCACGAGCTGACATCAGTTAGAGAACCACTGGATTGGAACCACGGTGGGCACGTACTGTTGATGAGTCACAAACTAAAACGAAATAACTGTCTGTTACTCCCTCCCTAGTTTTTAAGGGTTCTTTAACTAATATCAATCCATGGTCAAACTTAAAACAAATGAAATCCCCACAAACTAACTCTTGAAAAACTGTTTTTGTTTATTCCTAACGAAAAATGTCCTTTTCATAGGTGTTAGACGTTGAGGTCAGGGAAAATCATATTCGCAAGTGCTTTTCCTAAACTGTATTCCTACTAAGACAGTATCATGAGAGATTTACAAAGTTTATGCGCTGTTACTTACAAAAATATGAAGTCACCTTAAACAGTTTGTTCTGCATATCAAATAAATTTATTCTACTTTTACTGCGATCCTTGCATGTATTAAATATTAACACGTTAACCACAGAAGGGTGACCAGAATAATTCAAATAAAACGCTGATTATTACATTTAAAAAGTTCCAATTTATGATGGGAACGGTAATTATTCGCTAATAAAACCATGAGGATTTCATTACCAAGTCAGTTTACTTAATCTGCCTTACTTAAGGAAGTATGAATAATAATTTATGACTTGTGATTGAAAGACTCACACATTCTAGAGTTTTCAGCGTGTCTCATACTGCGAAATCACTTCTCATAGCACATAATTCACAATTTGTATGTAGACAGTACTTCAAGACTGAAGAAGGGAAGCTGAGTTCACATCTGAAAAGTTTATAAGGAGTATCTCGTTCCAAACACAAGGGGTGTCACTGTTTGGTCTGAGGATCGTCCACAATAAGTCAACGATAGACCATCTATGAATAGATATGTAGCTCATTACACACCTTACACATCTGACTTTCAAACAACTTATATATTGTTCGAATTCTACTCCACTAACTTTGACCTGGAAAGCAAGTTAATATCATCTTCCCTCCAACAATAAGTGTATCTAGTAGCCTGGTAATGAACCATCCATGGACCTATTGCTCAACAAATACGACGAAGACAGTGGAGATGGATCAGACACACACTGAGGAACCTGTTGGGTGATGTCGGGGGCCAAGTCATCGCTGGAGTGGGACTCGAATGGGAAACGATGAATAAGGCATGTGTCCACGGGTGGCATGAAGGAAATCGTCTGAGGAGGGGGCGAGTTTATCGGAAATAGTGAAACCAGCTAAAGAGGTTCGCAAAGAAAAGTACAAAGTACAGATGTGTTGTTGAAGGCTTATGCTCCACTCGGAACCCAAGGAAATAATAATAATAATAGTCTGGTGCATGAGAAACATATCCTGACTGACTGGATTTCAACCATTGTAGCTGTGAGTTATCGCAGCATATAATTCGTAACGAATTGATCTACAAACTAAACTATTGACTGAAAACATTTATGAAGCTTTAAGAGACTGCCAAAGATATCTTTACGTTTTAAGGACCATATGAATTAAGCAACTTGTTGGCATATTTATATCAACACAATAATTCCTTACTTATTTGAATAAGATACAAACGATGAATGCGTACTGGCAATCAGTCCCAAACTAGAAAGAAACAGCTATCCAGTTTCCCCTGAATTTTAATGGTGCTTTAACTGAAGTTATTTATTCATCCAACTTGAAATAAATCAAGTCCCCAAAACACAAATTCTTGAAAACAACTAATTATGTAAGCATCAGATACCAATTGACCAACTTGACAACGAAAAATGACCCCAGACTGACGAACGATGATCAAGTTAGTAAACTTTATTTTGATATCATAACAGACGTACTATTACCTTTGTTATTTGGTTCAGTGATCTTTATTGTTATTTTGACTTTCAATATGTCCTTTTAACTTGATCTAAGTAGTATATTCTCTCACCTCTTAACTCTTCGTTATATATATATATATATATATATGCTGAGATTTTGTAAATTCCGGTTTAATAATACTTTGATAAAGCAATTAGCATTAAATAGCACAACGTCAGTAAACACACAATATCGTTTTGTTTTTCATTCATTGGGAAATACAAAAACCTTTATTATAATGAGTATCATATACCCAGTGCCCAAATTTTTTCAAACTGTTAAAAGGGAACTTGGTTTGGACATATATAAATCAAATACCAAAGGTATTTAATTGAAAAATGTGTAAATTTTATGATTATAATTGCAGTGTATATTCCACGAAGTACTTGAAGACATTAGCCAAACATCAAGTCACTCGGTGACTTATAACACGTCTTTGAGTGAATACTATAGATGATATGGTCAACGTTCACATACATCCTCGATATTTAAATTATCGCTACTGACTGTTTTCGTCTATGTACACTAAGGTATTTTGTAACAAATTCACATTATGATATGACTGATATCTAAAATAATTGGTTGCGAAAATGTATATTGTAGTATGAAATATAAATCCAACATAAAATCCACTTACCTGACATAGCTTAGGAGCGCCCGTATCGCAATAGAAATCAAACAAAGGACAATTGGTAACAATCAATTCCAATAACTGATTCGAAGTTGACGAGTCACATACAGATTTGTCAGTATTTACAGAGTCAACAACTTTCTTAATCATTGTTTTTAACAAATTTGACACCTTATTAAAATATTTATACTTTGAATCAGATAGCTGCATGCTGAAAATATCAAGGACATCCTTACTTATGACCAGTTCAGCAGACTTTTCATCACTGTTACACACAATGTGGACAACTATTTGTAGAAATCGTAAAGTATTTTTGGTATCGTTGATGTTAGAGCATAACGATTCTGTGAAAAGAAGACAAACGATAGAATAATATCATACCAGATAAACAAATAATTACGACGGTTACATTTAGAGAATCGGAAAAACACTATATAAAAAGTAGATGAACAGTAGAATTTGAGCACGTCACGATTTAAACTGCACTACAACACATTGTACAACTGGTTTCACTAAGTACACTACGAGTAAAGTTAGAATAGAAAACTCTAGCAAAACCACATGATTTTGACTTTCAGACAAATCAGACAACATATCGAGAGTAAAGATGAAATGACAGACGTTAATCCAACAGATCTGTTGTCCAACAAGACAATTCTGCCGAATGAATAATCATAAGGTTCCTTTACTCAGTCCCCACCAAAGTAAATAGTGGGATGCTATCCCCAACATATTAACACTCACTAACTGGACAATCAACTACATAGTTCATAAGGAATGTGATGCAAAACAACTCGGTAAAAATGACCTAAGGGTAGAACTATATGATCTAACCTGAACGATAAGGTAGACGAAAACACAATTCTTAACACATAAGCTTGACAAATACACTAAAGCAAAAAAAAATTAATTGCAGTACTGACCTTTTATGGGAGTCCAAACATCAGTAAGCATATTGAGCTTCACCACTTCATCTATCAATCTCACGACAACATCATCGTCAGAGTGCTAACTAAATAACATCAGAGTGAAAAGAAACTCACGAGAATACTGAAAAGAAGCTTCCGGCGGTATTTCTTCTCGGAAAAGTCCACCAGCGGAATATTCAGTTTCTGAAGACGCTTCTGTGACTATCAGAGAAAATTCGAAAATCTGTTACCTTAAAACGATGTTGGAAAGACAGTATGACTAGTAAAAGTTCACCTGTTAGGCTTGTGTTTGAAGACATCATATCATTCCACGTAGCTTTAAGGAACTCATTTAAGTCTGTATCAAAGAAATGCTTCGGTGCCTGCCAGGAAAAACATATTTAGTATTTCCGAAGACTCACCTTAGTGCTGACCTCCGATATTGTTAAGTAAGCAGCTGTCCTGTGATGGGCACTTTTGGTCAACAATAAAATGGGAGGAATCATCATTTTGGTGAATTCCTCATCAACCTGTTAGTAAAAAAATACTTAACAAATAGGGTGTGATCAGTACCTCATTCATCCTGTGCGTTGCACAAAGTACTCTTGGACAAGCCAAATATGCTGCCTTCACTGATGAGCGTTCCTGATTTGGTTTAATAACTAATAATCAATGACATACATTTTTAGTAGATGGTTCTGAGGAGTATACATGAACACGCATTGATTGCAACAGTTCCGCAGTAGATGTTTCTGATGGAAAATCATTTAAAAGGCGTGTGAGACAATTTTCAAAACTAATCCGTGTAAACTCTTCGAACGACTTTAGACCTTTCACGAGCCTCTGCCTGGTATATGTGAAATATGTGGTTTTCACCTGAAATATTCAGCTTCATGAAAACAACTTACATCATTCGATTTATCCTTAAGAGCGTTAACTAGTTTTTCAACCGCAATGACTCTTTTAGACTCATCATCTGCTGACAACTCCCAAAATATATCCAAAAATTTACGGTCAACAGACATAACGTGATGACCTTGAATTTTAAGAAGTGAACGCGGACTTGAAGGTCTTTCCTGGCTCGGGAAAACGCTTCACTAAAATGCTGGATTCTGTGGTTAGTACAAAAGCATTGTCAGCAACAGTAAAGAATAGACAACAATGTACAATGAACTTGGATCAATCAATTATATTCTTCCGGGTGAAAAGTGGTATTTTTTTATATAAATATGTAGTAAAATAGAATCAAATATTGATATAATTACTCAGAAGTGGCTTTAGAAGTGAAAATTAGAAGTTGAAAATTACGTGGTACTCAACGGCAAAAAGATAGAAATTTGATAAGGTTAAAATTGCTATTAAGTGAGAATAAAGGTATTTGAGTGTCAATTTAACAAGTGTGAAGAGGGTGTGAAAATATACAAAATATACAACTGCCGCTTTGGGCCACCTCAATGTGTGTTTATAAACTCACTTGCTCGTGTGGAGCTAGTTATATTGGCCGCACAAAGCGCACGCTTTCCAAACGCATCTCTGAGCATTATCCGGCATGGTTAGCAAAGGGACAATGTAAGACAATTACTAGCTCAATTCTCGAGCATTTGGTGAACTCAGGCCACGTAGCTCCACCAGAATCCTCTTTCAAGATCATCTACAAAGTGAAGCCAAATGGTACAAAGGGCGTCAGGTTCCGGCTTTTGTGTATGGCGGAGGCTCTAGCAATTCATCAATACAACCCTGAACTCTATATACAGAAAAAGTTTGTCCAGTCTCTTATTCTACCTTGGTCTTAACCTCTTCACTAATCGTTCCTTGTAAATGAAATATTTTTTGATTTTTTCTTTTCATTCTACTTTCACTTTTAGTTAGCTTTTGCTTCAATAATTAATTCGCTATTATCACTCTCATATGCTCCTTTTGTATATTTTCACACCCTCTTCACACTTGTTAAATTGACACTCAAATACCTTTATTCTCACTTAATAGCAATTTTAACCTTATCAAATTTCTATCTTTTTGCCGTTGAGTACCACGTAATTTTCAACTTCTAATTTTCACTTCTAAAGCCACTTCTGAGTAATTATATCAATTATGTCACCCCCTATTACTCAATAATAGACCACTATATATTTTTGTAAGTATAAATACGATTGTACAGCCTCTGAAGAATCAAATATCTCAAATGTGCTGTAGAAATTGGTTCTAATTTCTCATAGGAGTGTCTATTGACACATCAAACTAATTTCGACACATAAGTTCCAATAACTGGCTGTATTTCATAAAGTATCGGGAACCATCTACATTCCTAGTACGTTATTTTAGATGGACACATAATTTCTCATTGTGTGAGTTCCACCTGTAGGATCTACTAATTCAGAAAGATGGTTGACTTTATGAAGAAAATAGCCCAATGGTAACAATCGCGAATAACCTGTCTGTGTCTATGTTCTATCTCATGAGTAAAGTAGTATAATATGGCGATTGCTGTTGAGGTTACGCATAAATTTTTATGTGTGGAGGGTAAATTAGTCTTCAAGGTAGGGGAGCTGAATAGGTTCAGATGGCTATAACACGTGATGGCATACCAAGCCATTGCCTTCCTTGAGGAATAATGTTAGCCAGCCCATGTTAAGGTTCCAAATGTGTCTGGGTTGGTCAAATGAAAAGCTGGTATTGGTTCATAAAACCATTGACAGTCAGCTGGAATAACTACTAGATATATGTCTGCAAGTCTTTGTTGATGGCACAGATGCATTCACTCTGTGTAATCTTACGTATCTATTCAACTCATGTTGTCACTATTTATTTTCCCTCAAATTTTCGCTCGTTAAACTTCCATTTAGTCTTATGTCTCTACCTTTGTGTGGTGCATGGAATGTGGTCAACTAAACAGTTGGACTTCTTTGCGAAGTCATACTGAATGCCAGGCAGAATGACACAGGCTAGGCATAACTAAATGCGAAACACTGAATAATGATCTCCAGAATGTCAACAAATGGTAATTGCAGTTCTTAATCTTGTTCTTTGCTAAATGATAAATAGATACCTTTCAGTAATCTCTTCTTCCACCGGGAATCGTCTCCTACTTTGCAAGTGTTTTTGTGCTATATCACTTTTGTTCTAAGCTTTCAGTCATTCAGCATAAGCCGTTCTTCACTAAGGACCTAGATGACATTAGTTGAGTAAGGTTTCGGTCGTGCAAACACGAGTCCTGTGAAGGTGACTGATTGCATTATCATTTCTCAAATGGAATGCAGCATGCTGTATATTAAGGTAAATCTTCCGCCTTGCTTGCTGAAGGTGGTGTTCTTCAGGGTACTGTTATCCCTCCTTTTCTTTTTTCTCTCTCGTATTACATGAATTTTCTCTTTCTAATGAGAGCAACTTCGTCAAATACACTGGTGATCTGACCGTATCACTCCCTATCATGTCACAATGTGTCACCAGGAGGACTTTATTTTTCAGTTTATTCGTATATATACTATTGTGCATCGAGTTGCACTGCGACTCCACATGTAGCAAAAGATTATGAATACCTTGCTCTTCTCTTCTGCATAAGAAAGTTACTTCACAAGAGTCGCTATATTAAGCTCAGTAAGGACAAATATGAATTTCTCCACTTCAGCGTTGTGAGTTAATTTGTGAACTGTGTAGGCTCCTAAAGTAATGCATTTGGCGTGCATGCTGCATAGTGAAATCAGGAGTGTGCATGTTGTACTAAATCTGCGCTTTCTGTGTAGATTCCATGTTCATGAAGTGACCATTTAACAACTGCTGAGTGTTGCATGTGATCCAGCTAAAATTGTAACCGATAATTCCAAGAATTTTTGTCGTTTTCATTGGCAGCGGTTCACAGCTTATTGAGTTTACACAAGTACAATACCCATTGCTCACTTTACTGAGGAGACAATAACTATGATTCGAGAAAAGTAGTACGTCAGTATGTGAATTTCATTCATTCTATTCCCTTAATAATGAAACCAAACTATGAGAGAACTGATATTTCCAAGAAGGATATAATACAAGGCTCATTTCTACAACTGTCGCCCTTATTTTAGTTCACTTTCATCATACATGTATTAATAGAATTGTGTGTCACTCACTTCAGGGACTTACCAGGGAACAGTCTTGTCAACTTAGTGTATGCTAATGACATTGTCCACTTAGGCTGTGAGAAGTGACCATTGAAACTGGAAGATATGAAAAGACTACTGGTTTTTGATCATAGTGTTTGTTCGCTTTTTTCTGTGTTAAGTAGTCTAATATGGTGAGTAATTTTGAAGGTTAAGCTTAGTGTTAAGTAGAAATGTGACTCCAAACGTTGTTAATAACACAGATGCATTCACTCCGTGTAATTTTATATATCTGAGCAACCCTTGTGTTCTATCCATATCACTGTTCGTTTTCCATGACATTTATGCCCATTAGAGTTCCATTTGATTTCTTTTTTCTCTACCTTTGTGTGCCACATGGAATGTGACAACCTAAACAGGTGCACTTGTTTGCAAGCTTCTATGTTGAAATTCAGTCTGTCAGAATGATCTATAGTCCAGGTATAATGAAATGCTAAAATGTGGATAAAAATAAGCAAAATGTCAACAAATGATAATCACATTTTTTATTCGGTTCTCGTCTAACTGAAAAAAAAGAGTTGTCTTACAATAATTTCTCCTCTTACTCGCGATAACTTTTACACTCTGTCCCGTTACATCTCAAAAGTTTATTTTATGCCACAGCATAAATGCTAAGTTGAAACATTTGATGAAATATGTTTTGTTATTACCAACTAAATATAATATTTTTCAAGTGTGGAATGTAACAAATCGAACTGCTGCACTTCTCTACTGAGTTCCATGTTAAAACTCAGTCAGTCGGCTTTGTCAATGCAGCTGCCTAGTGTCAAAACTCACTACAGTGTTAATTGGCACAAACAATTATGAATGCCGTTTCTTAAGTACTCTATGCATTTCCCAATTCCTTAAATTGTCGAGATAAAGTGCACTGTAGAAAACATAAACCAAAAGTCAGCAACACGGACATAAGAATTGGTGCAAATAGAAGTGAATGAGATGGGTGATTTTTTTAAACCTGTAGTACGCTTAACTAAAATACTCATGTATATGAATGAAGCTGTATCGTTCACAAGATGCTTGTATCAAAGAGGGCACTGAAACATAAACTAAGTCTAACATGAAATACCTTAAAGATGTTATATCCTCTGGTCTTTCTTGGTCACTCTATATATTGTCCATTTCTGTAATGTAATCTTTACAACTGTTTCGAATATTACTTCATAAAATTAGATATAATAATGTACGAGATGCTGCAAATTCAACACTAACATTAATACTGTTTTCGAACAAAGCAAATTATTATTACTGTTGCACCTCGTTGCGGTGTTAATCTGCTTATACCCCTATTATTGCCGTATCCTAAGTATTGCACTCATTTTCTCATTTCCTTGTACTGTGTAAATAGGGTGCAACGAAGAAGTAATAGTGAACTATAAGTAAGCAACCCTGACGCGAGAAATGTTAGCAGTCGAAAGAAATGAAATGAATTGAAGACTTTGTAATAATACTAGCAATCTCCTTTATTCCAAAACAGTACTTGACTTATTTACCTATGCATTTTAACGTGTCTTCTAATTATCTTATTTTTGTCTTTGTAGACACTGGCTAAGATGCCGTTGTAGGCATCGTCTGGAAGCAGCCTTTAATTTCATCTACCTTCCGCGAAGTCTGTCGCACGAAACGTCGAAATTTTACTGACTGGAAAACGCTACAATTGGTGTTTATGTTACTGATGCAGCGATACCCAAGACTAGATACGTTATAGCAACGTATGCCTGTAATAACATTACTTACATAGTAAATACAATGCTAATTACAAAAACTCGTCATTATCTTTTCCTTGCGTACTTACAAGAAAAAAGTTTACCTTACTTCTCATACTAAGTACTGAAGATTCCGCCTAGTACTCACTTCTACTTGCTCTCTATAAAATGCTTTCTACTATATTCGCAAATGACTATTAGACTTCTGTCACATGAAACGGTAAAACATAAGGCGTATGCAGTTTAGAAGTTAGGGTA